ACCCAGAACCGGGAACCCGGGAACCCAGCGTGCGACCAACATCGGCGGGACACGTTCGCCAAATCCTTGAACTCCCGCGAGGACCTATTCAGAGCAAGCACCGACTGGGGAATGGCCGGTCTGTGCGTGTAGGCCATGGAGGCATGCCAAGATAGGTTCACCCGAGGCCCAGCAGTGTGCCAGGTTGAGCGGAGGCCCTCCGGGAGATCTCCAGCAGTCTGCGGGCCCTCGCGCGGCGCTGCGCGAGCAGTGCCAAAGCCGGGCGGACCTCCCTCGCAGCCATGCTGCGCCCAACTTACCAGCCTGGAACATATCCCTATCCCTAAGCTGGGCATCGCCGCGTCACAGTGCCAATCGTAGAGATTCCCTTAGTCTTTCAGGGCGCGTCCCTAAGATTGTCATCGCCTTTTGGCGTGTCAATCGTAGGGATAGGGATAAGTTCGAGGCTGGTTACTAACCAGGCTTCGAAAAACTTTGATGGGAATGTTTTTCTTCGAGGGCGGCAGGCGCGGGCGATGGTCTGCCAGCCGACGCCTGCGCCGACCCGCGCAGGCACGATTGCACTGCCGAGGAGGAGGATCCCGACGGGGCCTTCCTCGCAGCCCTGGACCAGGCGCTGGTCCAGGAGCAGGCCCACGCCAGGAACCAGGCGAGTAAAGAGTGGAAAGAGCGGTTGTTGAAAAAATATTGAAAGAGCGGGGGGGGGGGAACGCTCGCGTCGCCCAAAGAGCCCGTGGCGTGCTGGAAGGCGTCCCCGACCCTGTCCTCGGCTGCTTCGGTGATTTCGGACCCCTTGGCCCTGCTCAAAAATCAGGCGGCTCAGCTCTCCAAGACTTGGGGGGCAGAGGCCGGGCAGCGCGACCGGACCGGGGCCCCTGTCATTTCGCCCCCCCCCCCCCGTAGATGCCAGTGTCCAGAGAGTGGTCTCATGGAAGTACTCTACGCGATAGGCCTGCGCCGTCCGTGGGCGGATTCCATCTGCGACGCCACTCGTGGATGACGGATGAATGTTTCCAGGCGGTCTCGGTCATGATCAGCATTCTGGAACTCATCTCTCGACTCCCCCAGCAGCTGCAGCTAGTGCAGGTCACTCCACTGATGAAGCCGAACGGTGGCTGGAGGCCCATCGGTCTGTTCTGCTCGCCTTACCGCTCGCGGAGCCGCTGCCGCAGGATTTGCGCTCAGCAGTGGGAGGTTCGCTTCGCCAGTCCGCACTTCGCAGGCCAGTCTTTCGCTTCGGCCACCGACATGGCGCGGCGACAGATGCTGAGATCCGAAGCCGCCAACTCCAGGAGACAATGTTCAGGGACTACCCTTTGGGACGTGGCGAACTTCTATGAAGGTAGTTCGCTCGAGCGCCTCGAGATCCACTGCCTGCGATACCGATTCCCGCCCGTGCTTTTCAAGCTGGCCCTGTCTGCCTACCGCTGCGCCCGTTTCATGAGCATGGGCAACTTGACGGCAGGGCCTTTCCACTCGCACATAGGGGGTCATCGATGGATGCAGTGTTGTCGCGTCGTTCGTGAAGGTCTACTGCATCGAATATTTCGACAAGATTGTGTTTCCCCACACACACACACACTCAACTTGATCAGTCCATGGACGACAGTGATATCTCGCGCACTGGATCGGCCGCTCAAGTCGCTTCTTGTTCGAAGGAGTCCTCGGCCAGCCTGCACCATGCCATCGTTGCTGAGATGGACTGCGAGATCTCGTGCGGCAAGGCTGCCTTTGTCAGTCTAGCAACGATGTGAAGAAGCAGCGCATCCCCTTTTCAGGACCCCTGGCAGGAGAGCCTACTGACAGCGCAGCCAACCTAGGCGTCGACGATACTGCGGGCAGGCCTAGGAGGGTGGCTAAAAAGAGCAAGAAGCTCAAAATTCGGATTATTCTACTCAAGGCCACCACCGGGAAAATGGGCAGGCTATCCTCCAATCTCGGCAAGTTTGTCAAGCGCATTTGGGCCTCTGGGGCCTCAGCTGGCGTCCTGTATTGGGCCGAAGTTCACGGAATTTCGGATCACGAGCTGGGGGGGATCCGTGGGGAGGCGGGGAAAGTCTTAAGACCCAGGGCTCCAGGGCGCTCCCTGACCTCCACCCTCCTCCTCAACGATGATCCCACGTGGGCGGGGGCTGTGGCCCGCATCGTCAGGTACAGTGAAGAGGCGTGGGCTGCCCAGGCCCACTCCTACCCTTTACTCCCTCTCCCCCCCTTCCCTCTGACAAGCTTGGGAGTCGGTGTTTCAGAGGCCCGTCCCTTCGCGGCGGCAGGTTGGAAGACCACTGTCTGCGATGAGGCTCTCTCTCGTCAAGGTCGGCTGGAAGATGCCGAGCTTTGCCGCGCTTCGGAACGATTTCGATGACGAAATCCAGCTCACGACGGTCCCTTCCGCTCTGCTCAAGACCTCTTTAGGGCGGTCGCCCTTCGCCAGCTACAACGGGAATCGCGCGCTAAGTTAGAGCTGCCTCGTGATCGATTGCGTTACGATATCGCTCGGAACCAGGTCTGATCGCAGAAGTGGTCGGGGTGAACCACAGGCACGATCCGAAGCATCACTTGCGACGCTCTCTGGACACACAGCAGGGCGATCAAGGCCGGAGATCAAGGCCGGACACCAGGGGATCGAAGGATCGGTGCGCGGTGTGTGCGGGCCGTGCGGTGGCACCCCTTTCCACAGGCTCCGGGCGTGCCCGAAGTTTGCGGCCTCGAGGGCCGAGCTGGTCGACCAGGATGTCTTGGAAGCGGCTGCCGCCGCGGACCCGACCGACCCCCTCGCCAGCTCGTCGTCTTGTCGCGGACTGCTTCCGCATCCCGGGGGGCGTGCTGCCTCGCCCCGTGGCCGTGGCACCCCGACGTGCAGGCTGCCGAGGTCTGGCGCGGAGCGCCGCGCCGGCGATGGCGACTTCAGCGGGTCCGTATTCACTGACGGGTGCCGTTTCGTGCACCGAGCTGCCGAGCTCTCTGGGGCTGGATGCGGGCTCTGCCTGATGGGCGACTGCGGACAGGAAAGAGGCACGAGTTACACACTGCAGTGCTCGCTCCTTCCCAGCAGATCCCGCAACGTGGTGCATTTGCCGCTCTTGCGAGGGCTGGCATGGAGGTGACGAGCTGTTCTTCGGTCTTCAGTGACTGTAAGAACGTAGTCGATCTAGCCCTGGCCCCTACAGAGCTAAAGTTTTCCCACAAGGCACCGTACGCGGGCCTCATGGTTATGTTCAATCTAGGAGCCCCTCTCATTTCGGAGGTCTGCAAAGACAAAGCCCACCTCGACCCAGAGGAAGATGCAGGATAGGTGGCGCAGATTAGGTAACCAGGCTGCAAACCAGAGCGGCCCAGGCGGGTGCCAACCTGCACCCAAGAGCTTCAGAAGAAGAGCAACAGGCCCTATATTGTTGCATCCGAGTGTCCGAAGCGGTTGTAAACTAGCTGGCAACATCATGCACCATGTTCCGCGGCTCGATCCTTCGGAGAGCCTCTTGGTTCCCCCCTGAGAGACCTCCCGAGACCCTGAAGGCCACTGTCGACAGTGCTATCTCTGCGAGTGGCCACATCTTCCTGCTTCAGGCCTCGCACAAATATGTTTGCAGCCTCTGCCACTGTATCGCCAACAAACAGGACATCCTCAGTGCCTGTAAGTCTCCCTGTCCAGCGCATGGCGCGGGAAACGGGGGAGGCTGAGGACAGTCAGCAAGCAGATGACGATATCTTCAGGGCGGTTGAGGGCGAGGCTCTGGTGGGTGGAAAGGTGCCACACGGCTCGCATGTGTTGAAGCTCTGGCCCCGTTATTCCCTCTATGTTCGTTGTGTGTGTGTGTGTGCGGCCGTACGGCCGCTGTGTACCCGATGTATTTGGAAAGGGAATATGGGCCACCCAATAAGAGGGGCAAGGAGAATCTTGCCCGTATCGAAAAGAGAGTGTTCCCCAATTATTGCGGACCCTCGGCGGCAGCAATTGAAGCTGATTTGTCGAGGGCCAGAAGATTGCATGCTGTGAGCCATTCGATTCCGGATGTTTTGTGGGCGAGCGAGGGGCCTCCTCCTCCTCCTGGTGCCCAGGTTTGTTCGTGGACCGGGTCTTGTGCCAGGGTTGCCCCGAGACAGGCCCCGAAGGAAGACGCAGCTCCCAAGGAGCAGCCTTCCCCTGAATCTAGTTCGACGGCCCCTCCTCCCGAAGCGGTCGAGAGGCCGCGACAGCTCCAGCCAACCATGCTGGAGGGCGAATCTGGAGATTCAGATTGAGAGTGCACTCAGCCTAACCTCACTTGCAGGGAGCCGGCTGGGTGCAAAGCCGCTGGGTTGGCGTGAGCCCAGTGGTTTCACCCCTTGAGGGTTCATCACGAGGTCCTGTCACAACAGAAAAATCAGAGGGCGGGTGGGAGGGAGCGAGACTGCTTGCGGGCGTAGGGGGGGCCTCGAACCCTATCCTTATCCCTGCCCGCGCGTTTTCTCCCTATCCCGACATCTCTATTCATGTCCAAATCCCCATACCTGTCCCGATCCCCATGTCCCCATACCCCGATCAGTATCACTCGCCCGATCCCTGTGGCCCCTCACCGTGACTGCCCATCGTGGACCACTTATCACGGCTGTACAAAGACGCTTAGGGCATTCTGCTACAAAGGGTGTCCTCATGCTATGGCATCTTCTGGGCCACCTAACTTCGCGCCCCGCGATGCGCGACGCGCGGTGATCTTCGCGCCCTCGTGAGCCCACCCCCCTGGAGGAGGGCAGCCGTCCGGCCCAGACCGCGACCCGCGAGGCACGATTATCTTCACGCCCCAGGGGGTGACCGAGGTTGCTTCTGGTTGTCAGATGTTTGAAAAGTGTTCGCACAAAGTTCGAAACCTGCCTTCACGTGTTTCAGATCCGTTTGAAACGTGTTCTGAACATCTGGAGATCATTTGGCAACGCGCTTCCTCTCCACTGATCGTCTTCCACAGGCCTTGCGAAGGGAGCGCGGAGGGTGGGCGGGGGAGTGACAGGGCGTTCTGCCCCAGAGCCTGGGCGGCCTCCCGCCGCAGCTGGCGCGGCCGGACGCGCTCCCAGAGCTCGCGCTCCTGTGGCGGGTAGCTCATCCACGGCTCCTCGAGCCCGGCATCCTGGGAGAGCTCCTGCACGAGGAGGGAGCTCCTCCTCCTGCTGCTCTTTCTCATCCTCCTCCTCTGTGCCTCCATATCCTCCTCTTCTACTCCTCCTTCTCCTCAACATCACCATCACCATCAACAACACCATCAGCAGCATCAGCGCCAGCAGCATCAACAGCATCATCATCATCATCATCATCATCATCATCATCATCATCATCATCATCATCATCATCATCAGTATCATCGTCATCAGAATCATCATCATCATTATCAGCATCATCAACACAACCACCACCACCACCACCATCATCATCATAATCATCATCATCATCATCAGCAGCATCAGCATCAGCATCACCATCATCATATTCAGCAGCATCATCATCACCACCACCATCATGGTCAACAACTTCATCGCTATCATCACCATCTTCATCAGCATCATCATAAGCAGCAGCATCAGCAGCAGCATCGACACCACCATCGCCACCACCTCCAGCCTGGGACCCAGATGGGACAGTTCAGGGAGGAGAAGGAAGCTCATCCTCCTAATCCTGCTCATCAGTGCCAGCCCCACGATCCCCAGCAACATCCTCATCGTCCCCCACTCCTCACAAATCCTCTCTGCATCTCCCTCTCTCTCTCTGGATGCTAGCGGATCGCGCGGCGTTGATTTGAACAGCCACTGCCGCACGAAAAACGCTTTGGGGGGATCGCGCACAGGGCATCCATACACCACCACCACCGTGCCTGGCCAGGGCCATCCTGAGCCCTGGCATGGCGCACGCGCCCTCCTGCCCGAGCCCAGGAGGTCTCGACACCATCTTGGAGCACACGATGGCCCTAACCAGGCATGGCGGCGGTGTGTACAGTAGGGGCCCGACCACAATAAGCCTTCCACAAGAAACCCAACCCTGAGACCCCAAGGCGACTATTGGTATTTGGTGTGGCATCGTCACGCTTTCAATAGCAAAACCATCGAAGCCCAAGAAACCCAAGGCACCCTGGAGGCAAGCAGGGTGCGTCTTGACATGAGAGAGCGTGATCCACCGCCGCTTTACTGTGAAAAATTGCCGCCCTTTTCCTCCGGAACCGGGGGGTCTCCCCCCCCCCCCTCCGAAAATCTCCCCCCCCGGCTGGAACCCCCCTCCCCCCCTCCCTCCCCCGGCAAAACCCCCTCTCCCCCTAACCCCTCCCCCCCCTCCCCCTCAAAAACTGGGGGGGGTCACTACCGGTTCGAACCCCCCCCTCGAAAACCGAGGAGGGGGGGTCCGATGGTTCGACACCCTCCCCACCCCCCTCTCACCGCCAGCAAACGACTCCCGGTCCCTACCACCGTCCTCACCACATCCCCCACTGTTGTTCCCAGCACCACTGTCCTCACCACCACTGTCCCCACTGGTTCCACACCCGCCCCTACTGTCCCCACCAGTGCCACCACCACTGTCGCACTGTCCCCACTGTCCCCACCACTGTTCCCACCACGGTTCCACTCTCCCAACTTTCTCTACGGCCCCAACCACTGCCCGACAATCCCCACTGTCCCCACTGTCCCACTGACTCCTCCGCTGTCCCACTGAGCTGTCCCACTGTTCCCACCTTTGTCCCGACTGTCCCCACCACTGTCCCCACTGTACCTGTGTCCCATTGTCCCACCGCCGTCCTCGCCACCGCCTTCACCACTGTCCCCACCACCACTGTACCCTCCACTGTCCTACTGTTTCCACCACATTCCCACTGTCCCCACACCACTGTCCCCACCACCACCGTCCCCACCACTGTCCCACTGTCCCCACTGTTCCCACCATTGTCCGCACCATTGTCCTCACCATTGTCCCCACCACTACCGTCTCCACCACTGTCCCACTGTCCCCACCACTGTCCCGCTGTCCCCTCACCACTGTCCCCACCACCACCGTCCCCACCGCTGTCCGCACCCCCCCTCGGTTTTCGAGGGGGTGGGGGATGGGGGGTTCGAACCGGTAGTGACCCCCCCCGGTTTTCGAGTTCGAGAGGGGGGGGGTTCGAACCGGTAATGACCCCCCCCCTTTTCATGATGGACTGGGGGGGGGGAGGGGTTCGAACCGATAGTGACCCCCCCCGGTTTTCCGCCAGCAGCGGTAGAACACGCTCTTTCCTTGACATGGGCTCCCACTGTAGACACCATCCTGGGGCACATGATAGCCCTGACCAGGCATGGCGGTGGTGTGCAGGTGCTTCCTGCGGGGCCGAGGTGCCGAACGTCCTCGGACCTCTGGGGAGCCATCCTGGGGCAACGCGTGCCGCAAGAGTGCGGCACAGAACGAGATGTGGAGAACTCCGCCGGCAGGTTCCCACAGGGCAGGATCACTCCCCCGCGCTTGCTCATCCGACCCCCTCAGTCAAATCGGCGAGAGAGCGAATGAGAGAGAGAGGCAGAGAAACAAAAAAAAACGCGACGTACCCAACCCAACGGCACCAAGGGATGATAAGGCGTGCCGACGAGAATGTGAGAACAACACTGCAAGAGACGGTGCACGGCGGATATCAATATCGTGCGACGTGTGCGTGGCCGACTCGCAGAACAGAGGTACAAAAAGCAAGATTGTACTGGGAGGGAGAAGCAAAAGGAAGACATCGGGGTAACATAACAATCACATCGGCAGAAGCAGCGAGAAGATGGAGCATGGGCAAGATAAGGTTACATAGACGGAGACGCAACCAGACAATGAAGTATAGCGATTCCCCATGCCGAAATGTTCAACACCTCATCCTCCTTCTCCATCTCTTCTTGCTCCTCGTCCTTCTCCCTCGTCTCCCTCGCCTCCCTCCCCTCCTC